AAATTATCCAGATGTGATTTTGGCCGGATAATACAAATATCCGGTTTACCGGAGTCCGGATAAGTGAGCTCATACACGTGAGCTAGATTTCAAGACTGCACGCTGTTTTTTGTTCTTTCAACTCAATCTGAATGCCAATACAGCACTTATGTCTAAATTTGCTTAATCTTCCTTGGTTTTATATAGGCACCGAGCCTGAATAGGTATATGTTAATTTCTCTTCCCTGAAAAACAGCTAATTTTTATTGAAAAAAAAAGGGGCACCTCGGTTTACGAATTTAGTCCATTCCTGGAGACGGTTCGTAACCTGAAAATTCGTAAACCGAAGCAAATTTCCCTATAAAAAATAATGGGAATGAATTAATCCATTCCTGACTCCCCAAAAAATTCACTTCACAGTAAATTTTATACCTAATTCACCAAAATCTTCACTACAAAAGTATGTACAAGTTATTACTTACCTTTACTGATGACTCATGTTGGCATATGGAAGACGGTGAGGAGTGGGGAGGAGGAGAGGTGTTACTGTTTGGAAGGGGAGTCCCCTTCCATTATAACATCAGGCAGTGATGACTTCTCTGGGGTACACACTCTGGCACGTTTTGCCTGCATACCACTAGGACCTGCTTCTGGCTCACTGCATGATTTTCTCATTGTTTTTCTTGAAGATTGTTTTTCCCTTCTTTGTAACACTTGTCTGTAGTGAGACATCACATTGTCATTAATAAGATCAATGCAACGGCCTGCTAAAGCTTTATCTGGGGTGATTCTTTTCAGCAAAACTTTGCAGTTCTTTCCATACTGCACACATTTTCTTAATTAATGAGGAAGGGACATACATCCTTTACTGCCTCCTCCTCCTCCTTCCCTGAAGATTTGTTATACTGCCTAGCTAGTTCAATAACACGTGTACCATTTTCATGTTTACGAATTATCTTTTGTTTTTCCTCTATGGTCATTCTCACACGAGTTTTCTTGCCTTGAACCTTGCCACTGGCTTTCTTGGGACCCATGGCGAGAGATATAATACTGTAACAACTTTTATGCTCAAATAGCCAAAAATTAAAAAAAAAAAAAATGTAAATCCTTGCAAAGAATTCAGGCGGGATAGTCACTAGGAGGAAGGCACTGGTAAACTGAGGCGCGATCGCCATGCCACCACGCGCTAGGTCGGCCATACGCGTATCAACAAACTCGTATCCCGAGGTAAAGTTCGTAACCCGATTCAAATTTTCCAAAGAAATCGAGCTCGTAACCCGAAAAGTTCGTAAACAGGGGCATTCGTAAACCGAGGTACCACTGTACAAAATCATTATATTATTATTAATCTGGATGAGAAATGTAAGAAAAATTTATCATTTCACTGGGTGGAGGCACTCTGGAAGGGTGCACAGTGGCTGTCTGGTGCCTATTCTTGATCAACCAGACAGAGATTCATACATCAGGCTGCAAGCAGCCGCATCAAACAGCCTGGTGGATCAAACCAGTAACCAGGAGGCTGGTCCGAGGCTGGTCCAAGACTGGGCCACGGGGATATTAACCCCTGGAATCTTTCACAGCTATTCAACAGGTAGGTAGGTAGACCTGGTGCTCGATTTTGCTCTCACTTCCTGTGTTATCCTCAGATGTTTCACTGATTGTTTATCACTTGTTTCTTTTTATTTACATCCACAGAGAGCTATTATTTGCATCATACACGTAAAACCCAGACAATAATTGTTTAAATTGTCATATGACAATAACTGCATTATCCTGTGAATCAACATATGTCGATGACCGCTGTCTAAGGGTTAAAACTGTTATTTCTGTGCCTAAGTTAGTCAAGCTGTTGAATGACTTAAGAAGGTTGAAAGTGTTCCAGCAATTAATTCTTATTTTATATGTTATATATATATATATATATATATATATATATATATATATATATATATATATATATATATATATATATATATATATATATATATATATATATATATATATATATATATATATACACAGTATATATATATAAATCTCCACATTTACAGTATATATAAACACACACACATACATACATTATATATGTACACACTATCACAACAGCATACTGTATATTTAAAAATAAAAAAAAAAGTTTATTTGAGACTGAATACATTTGAATATTATTATTAAACTTGTGACTTGTGCTAAATAAATACACCGACAACATGTTAGTGAGCACCTTCCCCGGAGGCCTGGAGGCCAGCCCCTAGTACCCCCAGCAGACTCAATGTAGCGGTGGGTGGCTGCGTACAATTGCAACTAAATACACCTTTTCTAAATACATATTTCAACTTCTTAAATATGAGTAAAGTGTGTTTGATCATGTAATGAACTACCAACAATGAAAAAATGAACAGTTGAAGACAAAAATGCACCTTTGCAACAGAACTAATGTTTCCCATTCATTAAAATATAACTATCTCCTCTAGTGTTGCAATCCCTTTGCCTTACATTCTACACAGCTTTGTAATATAAAATATTAATCTTGGTCATCCAACGCTAGTTATCTGTGTACCTAATTTATGTTCACCATTCTGGTAGAGGCAAACCACAATACTGGACATGAAAGTTAACATTCATTCAGAGATCACATGTAGGCAAAATACCAACTTCCTTAATATTACTTTTTTCATTATTCATTCATAATATTATTGTCTAATGACAATATTACATGTTAGTATACAGCTACATACGCATCATGATTCAAGATTTCAATACTGAAAAACAGCGACTAAAACACTGACCAATTAAATCACAATTCTTCTCTGGAAGCATGCATACCCATTCATTATAATAATCTCCACCCCCCAAATATGACTGAAGTGACCATGACCAAAGCTGCCTTAACATCTTTTTACAATGAATGTGGAATCTAAAGAACTTAGTAATCTGAAAGCATTTTTCTTAAAATAATTTGTTTGTCATTTGGGTTTGGATTAACAGTTCCAAAGTTGAATGTGTTGTATTTTATGTGGATAATATACTTTGATATGTAAACCATGTTTTTGTATCATAAGGTGGGGTATTCTGGAGTGATAGTTGTGGATTTTGAAGCAACATTAATAAAAAAAAATCAGGACAATGACATACCAAAGCTGAACATAAATATTTGTTAATGGGCAGCTGACCACTAGTGGTGCTACAAGAAGCATACTACAACATAACATACTGGACACCACAGGAAGCAAAACAAAGGACACACAAATGAATCCTACAAATTTTATGAAATTTATTTCAATTTCAACAATTATTTATGAACAAAGAGAACTAATTAGAACATTGTAGGACTCATTTGCAATTAAAACATAATAAATTAATGCACAAAGGCAAAGGACAAAACATGCATTCCATAAGGGTTCATTTGAAGTGCGTAAGAGGGCTACCACAAAATAGATTCTTGTACTAAAGAAATTCATACATGGTGCATAACCCTTCCGCTGTAAACACCATTCCTAAATTATTTTATGCAAGTCCAGGCTATGTGTTGATACCATTCCTGGATGTTAAAACATTAGGGAAACTGTAAAGTACCAGTAAATTAGGAGATGTAAGGTTGAGCCTCTAACTGCCAGAGGTCACTGGGGACAGAGTTGCCACGTTATGAAAAATTATTTATGCCCTTAGTGTTAACAGTTTCTCCTTGGAGAGAATATGTCACCTGGTGTTGCCTTTCCTAACAATACTATTGGATCCTCAAGCAGGATATTTATGCATTATACAATGATACTTGTGTTTTTTAATTTGTGATGACTACTGGGTGTTTCTGAATGAATTTGTGAAAATAATACAGTATAAAAATGTTGACTAGCAGTAAACATGTGTAGCCGCTGTCAAGACACTGGCCCAGTGAAGATGGAGTGGCTGCCTCATTGCAACCAACATGCATAATTAACATATGTTCCCCCCCCCTCCCAAATCAAAACTAAGGCAACAAGATTAATTTGATCATGAGTTTGACAACACTATAACTTCTTTAAATTAAAAAGAAATGGAATTTAAAATAAAATTATTTTGAGGGTGGGTGCCAACTGGGGAAGAGGTAAAGGGTGGCAATGGGGTGTCACCACACGTTGGGACAACTAAGAATTTATACTTTATTTACCTCCCACACTCAAATTATAGCATCTAAATTTTTAATATAACTTAAATCATAAGCTCTTTTTTTTTAGCATGACTTTATAAAAAAATATATTTAATATAAACTTCTAAATATACATTACTGTATATGTACTGTATTTTCAATTAATATGTAAGGGGGCAAATCCCTGTTCTCAGCCTAATATGGCCAAACTATAGCAACTAGACTTACAGGTTCGAATCCTCGTCACGGCCCTTGTGGATTTGTTTATAGCAACTAGAATTCTTTCCTTATTTTTCCCAACATTGTTAGCAATTTCTAAATTTACAAAATGGAATTATTTTTTAATTCTATAAAATATTTTGTACTGAAGGAAGGATTGCTTTAAGAATAATGCAGCAGAAGGGTTAAAGAGGCCTACTATAAAACTGATACTGGTAAAAAAATCGTTAATCAGATACTAGCACAGCTGCATTCGGGAATTGGAGAGACATTCTGACATACTGTATGCAACAAGGAACAAAAGAATATTCACGTGGATAGTAACATTAACAACTTGCAGTATTTTAATGCTGTATTTGTGAAAAAATGTTTCAGTTTTCTTGTTTTTATGTTGCTTTGAAATGATAGCAAATTGTAGAATGAAGTAGGAGTAAAGTGCGCTTTTGGTTCAATCCGGTGTTGGATTTCAAAAGACGGTGTAGAAATAAGTCCCAGGCGTGAATCAGCGTAACACTGTGCAAATATCAATGGAAATCTGAGTTCTGAAATGTATCCTACCAAGTTTATTTACCCATCCCAATGGCTGAATAATTAAGTCCTGATGCATGACACCTGCATCAATGAAGAAGATAGGCTCTAGACACCCCTAGTGATGTTGGGGGTCAATCGTACTTACAAATGGCACGCTTCATTTTCTATTTCCAATGTGCTTTCCTTTGTTTCAGACTCAATTTCTGAGTGACCCATACACATTGGGCTGTCAATCATTTCCACATCACTTGCATGCCCATGGGCCACTCCATTGGCTACACCATTTATTTCATCATTAGCCCGACTCTTCTTGCGGCGACGGCACCGTTTGCAGTTGTTACGGCTCCTGTCCTCACTGAAAGTTATGGCTGATTGTGAGCTGGAGCATGATGATATAATGTTGCCATCACCATGGTTAGTACACATGCACCTTGGCCTCAAAGTGAACCATATGGCAGTACAATTAACAAAACAATATTTGAAAATTAAAAAAAAATTACGTAATACAGTTTTTTCGTGCAATAACTGTACTGTTATCAATTTTAAAGTTAAGAAAACACTTTCTTATCAGATTTTTTGCAATTATTCTAACAAATTCAAATACAGCAACTGCATGTGGAATGTCTGTGAGGCACAGGAACGGTTGTGACAGCCTCTGCTTCCAAGAGTGTGTACACTCAAGCTCTTATGGTTTGTTCATTTCTCATACTTACCTTCATTTTGAATTCTAAAGGATCTGGCACTTAAGATCAGTACCTTTGCGATTCTTAGTCTTCAGAAGCCACAGAGCATACTAAAATGGGGACAGCATACTTATCTAATTTAAATGATTCATGCATTAACACCTGAATCAGGGAAGCAATTGTAAGATTCACTGCCATTTCAGCAACAATACACTGATATTGTGGAGAGAGAGAGAGAGAGAGATAGAGAGAGAGATATTATATATATATATAGTATACTATAAAATTAAATTAAGTTCTTCCCTGATTCACTGTCATTTTAAATGAAAAAATGAAAATGGATGTCATGCTTCAATCTCATAGTAATTAATATTGTTCTACATATGTTTACTAAACATTGAGAGCAAAAAGCTCCAAATTGCCACTTAAAAAAATTGACTCAGCAGTAGTGTGTGTGTGTACATGTATGTGTGTGTTTCAGCAAAATCTTGCACACAATCATATTTACAGTGGATACCAGCTAATATGTTATGCACATAGTCCACAGACCGTACTATTCACAGTTGCTGAAGCATCATAATACAGTACAGAATTTGAATGAATGGAATCTTACCTTTAAGTATATAAAAGGCCATCCAGTTCACACATGAGTGACAACCAAAGTCAAGTTCATGATATTTACAGTGTGTTTGACTTGTTGCTCCCTTTCTCCCTTATTGGTACAATAATATACCCAGTCTAGTACAACCTGGCAATGTGCCAGCCTATTCCAGTTCATTTCAAATTAGCCAACAACTTGGGCTGGATGGTTGAGCAATGGTCTTGCTTCATGCAAGTTGGCGTTCAATCCCCGACCGTCCAAATAGTTGGGCACCATTCCTTTTCCCCCCATCCCATCCCAAATCCTTATCCTGATCCCTTCCAAGTGCTATATAGGGGTAATGGCTTGGCAATTTCCCCTGATAATTCCCTTCCCTTCCCTTCAAATTACTGAGATGAGTAAGAGCCAATTTGTCTATCACTTGTCCTAAGGCATCATTTTAGATCAATGCCAAGGTAGCAGTTACAGTAATTTGAGATACAAATTTGGATTTTTGCCCCATTACATTGTGTGTAATACCTAATGATAAATCTCTAACACTGACTCTAAAGTATGAGACACAGTTATAAATTACACACCAATTACATAACTAAATACTAAAGATGATTCACCATTATTCACTCTGGTTCTCAAATCAAAATTAATGTGCCTTTGTTACATGTATGATGTTGTAACCACCATCATTGATGCCCCAACAAACCACCACTACTACCATATCCATAACCACCACCACAACAACCCAACACCTTCACCATAACTCACCACCATCGTTACCAAAACAACCCACCACCACAGCAGCAACAGCTCCTATTACCACCACCACAACCACCCCCCCAATCACTTACTACTACAACACCCCTCACTTATCACTACAACACCCCCTAACTTACTACTACAACACCCCTCACTTACCACTACAACACCCCTCACTTACCACATCAAAATCCCACCAATGACACCACCATCACTACCATGACAGCAACCCACCACCACAACAACTCACCACCACCATCCCCACAACTCACCACCACCACCCCCACAACTCACCACCACCACCCCCACAACTCACCACCACCACCCCCACAACTCACCACCACCACACCAAAACAACTCACCACCACCACCCCCACAACAACTCACCACCACCACCCCCACCACCATAACAAGCTGCTACCATCAAGAAAGCATTTGAGATGCCAAAGCTGGAATATGCAGCAGTTGAATGGAGCCCATATCTTAAGAAGTACATCAACAATCTAGAAAAGACATGCAACTAAATGGCTTCCAGAACTGAAAGATAGACAAGAGCTACGAGGAGAGGTTAGAGGCACTAAATATGTCACAGCACGAATATAGAAGAAAAAGAGGTGATATGACCACTATGTACAAAATAGTAATGGGAATCAACAAAATTGATAAAGAGGGAGTCTTGAGACCTGGAACTTCAAGAAGAAGAAGAGGTACTGTATTAGATTTAAGTTAACTAAATAAAGCTGCCAAAATTTTTTTGTTTAAATTCACTGACGCAAACAGAGCGGTAGATGGTTGGAACAAGCTAAGTAAGAAGGTAGTGGAGGCCAAAACCGACAGTAGTTTTAAAGTGACATAAGACTAATAGTGCTGGAAAAACAGGACAACAGGTTTTCATCCTGTAACTACACCTACCACAACAACCCACCAACTCCACCACCACCACTACTAACCACCAACATTCTATCAATACTGGAACTAATATTTACCAGGAATAAAAAGAAACAGATCTTTGATACCTGCCTCCAATAAGTAATAGTGCCCATGTACTCATAGAAAAGTAATTAGAAAGTAAAAGTAACAATACTGTACAACATGTAATACAATGGAGAACGTAAGACAAGAAACTCGACTTTAAACAAGGAAAACTTGGGAGTCTAAATGAATTCTTTATTGAGAGTGACTAGAATGGTTTGTTAGGTAAGGTAATAAATGTTTCAAATGTAGATATGATAATAGCCCAGTAGGATCAGGAATCTGTACATCAGTTGATTGACAGTTGAGAGGCGGGACCAGAGCCAAAGCTTAACCCTCGCAAGTACAACTAGGTGAGTGTAACTAGGCGATACATCGATAACCATCAACACCACTAATACCAGTATAATCTGCCATTCATCATCTTGATCAAATCAGCCACCTGTGTAATCTGTCAATCTAACACACTTAGGAGCTTTATGTGGTAGCTTATACAAACACAGAAAACCATTGAAAGATCTAAAGTTTTAACAAACATGAACATGGTCTATTTCCCCCAACCTTTCATCATATCGGCAACCCCAAGTTTTAAAAGAAATACAATGTAGCTAATTGGGTAAATTTTGTCCATGCCAGACTCTTCTCTTATGTCACACACACACTCACTCTGAAGGTCAGAAACAAGAGTAATGATGTTTAAAGGCACTAGAAAGGGGAGTAACCTCAAGAGAGAGACTCGTCTTAAAAGACAGGTGGAAAAAAGAGGAGATATGATGAAATCATACAAATTTATAAGAGGATATGAAAAGTAAAATAGAGAAAAGATGTTTGAAGAAAGTAAATGTGAAAATAAGAGACCACAATTATAAATTACTGTATGTACATAAGAAACCTTAAAAATATATTTTACACATGTGCTTAACTTAGATGGCTGCCTGATATGGACTCCTGAGCATTAGCAGGTATCCACTGTAATATTAGTTATGTGTACTGTATATGCACTCAGTGCTTGTGTTGTGCTGGACCATGTTGACATGTTACATTTTCTACATGTATGAGAAATGATCCAAAACCAACACTCACGTAGAGCTCATATTTATTTCCAAAGAGAAGAATCTCAAGTAGCAGAAATTGTATTACTTAATATAGTACATTACTTAATGCAGTACATTAACTGATGCAGTACATTATTTAGTATTGTATATACATTACTTAGTGTAGTAAATTACTTAATGCAGTACCTTACTTAATACAGTACATTACTTAATGCAATGCACTACATTACAAAGCTTATTACTTCATAAAGTATATTTCTATATGTAGTAGACTACATTAAGTAATAAATTTTTAAAACTAAAAATATAAAAATTATTAAATGTCAAACAAAAATAAATAAAAGTTAGTGAAGATTCATCAGATTAAATCTATTGATAAAAATCACAGATCCCTCTCATTAAAAGGAAGGTAATAAAAATATTGAAAAAATGCTGATTAATAAATAAACTGATTAATAAATGCTGATTAATAAATAACAAAGAAAAAATAATACTATTCCCAATTAATTGGATACAAAAGAAATAAATTATATTTATGTTAGTGTGAAAATGCTAGTAAACAGAACTGGAAAATTATATAGTGTGTAAAAACCAGCGATGAATGTAATGAAACGCCATTTTCTGGGAGACCCGTAGGCTTCCAGGAGCTATCCAGGCTGCTAGGGATATTGAACGAATATGATACCATCAACGAAGAAACCTGCTCACCATACAAGCAGTGACAGACTCGAGTCAGAAAGATCAAAAGCGAAGGTGCCCAAATTAGACTTTGGCATCAGTCAATGTGAATGGAGTTCTAGACCTACGGGGGACCACAAGCCAGAACCTGGCCCCCACAGAGAGGCACAAGGAGCAATGGCCCATAGAAACTCTCGTGCTACTGAAAGCCGAACTAGTGGACAGAACTCCCCAAATGAAAAAGAGCAAATGAGCATGACGTCACCACAACGCCGCGCCGCTTGTCTGTGCAGCTCCCCCCTACCCCAAAGGGGAAAGGGGGAGCTCCAGACCCTAACAGCGGCTATCCACACTCCAGTTCTGAGGATGGATGTCAAAACATGTGAAACCAACGACCGGAGGGAGGGAGGGTTGCCGGGCAGCCTCCAGGTCTCCCCCAGAAAATAGCGTTTCATTACATTCAATGCTGGTTTTCTGGGGAAAGCCCCTGCGGCTTCTGGAGCTACTTACCCAAAGACAAAGACAAGAGGGACTTACCCGGGAGGCGGTCGGCACTCGCTCCTTAACACGAAGTCGAGATAACTGGCTGCAACCACCGACCCAAAGCGAAACA